GATATTTGGCTTCTTTAATGAACTTGTTGTCGATGAGTTTCTTGACTTCCTCTTCCAACGCTTTCTGACGATCCGGTCCCAATTTTCTTCGTTTTTGGACAATTGGCCGGACAGTTCGATCGAGATTCAACTTATGGCTAGCGACACCGGGGTCGATGCCCTTCATGTCTTCGTGTTTCCAAGCAAAAACATCAGAATTATTTTCGAGAAATAAAATGATTTCTGACCGGAGAGGCTCTTGAACATGACTTCCAATGCGCAATGATTTTTGGAAGACCGATTCGTCGATATAGATCAACTCCACTTCTTCCCCGGGCTCGGCTCGATCACTTCGGCTTTTTTCTTTATATTGAGTTCTTGGGTCCAATTCGTCCTCTTCTATGAGTGGCTCCTTTCCAGGTCGTCTACCTCGGTCTTCAATTAAAGGATCCGAGGTGGGAGAAACAACGGCGCCGCGGTTCGATTTCTCGGGAACCGTGTCGTCCGGGGTGTTTGGTGGTAGCGAATTTTCTTCATTGACCGGAGTGATGGAATAGACTCCGGAGGACGGTATGAAAGTGACAAGTTCTCGAGCTTCTCTTTGATCTCCGAAATGTGTCCCTTCACCTCGTGTCGTCGGGAATTTCAACGCGTAGTGAAAAATTGAGACTGCGGCTCGGAGTTTGTACAAAGCAGTCCTTCCGATGATCGTGTTATACTCGTTGTTAATGTCAAGAATTTTGAAAGTTTCCATGACAAGCTTGGTGACATTTTCGGAAGTGCCAAATCTGACAGGCAAGGTGATTTCGCCGATGGGCTTCGAAATGCTTCCGTTAAACTCCTGTATTTGATCATTACAAGGTCGGATGTCTGCCGGATCAAGACCCATCTTATCAAAAGCTCTTAACATTAAAATGCTCGAATAGGCCCCAGTGTCAACCATAACGCGGTGCACTGGGATTCCACATATGGGGACGGTAATGACAAGTGCATCAGAGTGAGGGTGTACAAAATGATTCGCATCCTCCATATTGAAAGTTATGGGACAGTTCCGGTTATTGAGGATGTCTCTCAGATCGGTGGTGTACACTTGTTTGCCGAAGTTGTAAGCTTGTCGGGCATAGGCCTTAATTTGTCGACGGGATAAGGTACTCCGAGTGTTATTGGTGTTTACGTGATGGATAGTGATTTGCATCGGGCTAGGAGATCAGCTCCGCTTGCGTCCCCGGGAGGTTCCACTTGAGTTGGAAGCAGGTGCTTCCGAGGTGAACACAAATACTTCCTTGTCTCCTTGCCGAATGCGTTTCGGCATAGCACCTCGGTCCTCTTCTTCGTCTTCATCAAAAGGTTCGATTTGACGCCCTGGCCCTCGTTTTTGGGGATCAGTATTGCGATAGAACTTCCTGAGTTGTGGATGACCGATTAAGCGTAACAAGGCGGCTAACAGACTTAAACACTCATCTGTGCTATGTCCTGGTGATTTATGATAATCGCAATACCGAGACTTGTCCAATTTCTCCTCGGGCATCCGAAGTGGTTTGGGATCAGGCAAGATGCCTTTCCCTTTGATTTCTTCATATATGGTGACTGCTCCAGCCGAATACACGGTTTGATAACCGGATTTTATATCGGTTGCATATTGTTTCCGAGCTGCTCTGATTTCGGGGTAGTTGGCGTCTCCTCGGGGGTATCCTCTAAATTGAGCCTTGTTTTGCTTGTCGAACA